AAGGGGGGTCCCACAAAGTTTGGGGAGTCCTCGGATGCAAAGAGAGGAACCTGAAAATCTTGAGAGCCCTGGGTCTCACACCCTGGGGCCATCTGCATGGCAGTGCCACCCCAGAGCAGTGGCTCCTGGAACCCCAGACTCTCCTGAAACTGGCCAGGCATGCTGTTTCCGTGAAATGTTTTGGTTTTGACATATCCGCATTTTCTGATGCAGCCCCATTGTAGAAGAATTCCTGACCAGCTCTAGTTGTGTGTACTCAAATAAATTTTTTAGTCTCTAAGGTGCCACAAGTACTCCTTTTCTTTTTGCGAATACAGACTGACACGGCTGCTACTCTGAAACCTCATGCTATAGTTTGTGGTATTTTCTATTTCCATTGGCAGAGAGTTGGATGGATGATATTGTAATCACTTCACAATGAGCCTATAGATTAAATCAAACGCCTTTCTCTCCACCCTTCCATTTGTTTATATAATTGGGAAATGGCTTTGGGGTTAGAACACCATTTTTTCCTAACTACTGGTCAGGAAATAACTATATCCATTGCTGCCTGTCTAATTCCTGTGTAAGGAAACCATGATACAATTTGAAGAGTGAAAGCCAAACAAAATTTGGGAGCTCTAATGGTATTCAGCTGGGAATTACATCATTTTGTTCCGGACCCTGTCTACCTCTTTGGTTGTTTTTACATGATCTCAGGTGTAATTCTCAGTGACCCTGCTTCATTAAGCAGGTGGAGTAACCATACAAGCTCCCTGTCTGAACAGAATACTAAAATTTTCATTAGTCACCCTCCTCAACCTATGGAAAAGAACAGGGAGCCATGTTTCAGGATGAAAGTACGACACTGCTGCTTAGATGGGACATTTACCCTACCAGGGTATATTGTTAGGAGTAGTCTGAAATAACAGAATGATTGTTACTATTCCAAAGTAACAGAGAGATTGTTTCACACACACACACACCCCACCCATCATGCAATCGCCAGGTACAAATGCTTTTCCTGCACTCAGGGACTTCTCCTCCTACTGGGAGAACCATGTGAATGCCAGAGCATCTTTTGTGGCATACCAGTTGCACACAGCTAGAGGAAATCAAACTGAAAACCTGTCTGTAAGCATTATGAAAAACATTTGAATGAGATTCACTTTCAGGTAGCTATCAAATTCGGAAAATCCAAACAGAAGGCAAAAGTTTATTTTGATAAAGTGAAAGAGAGAATGCTTGGGAAAGTTGGAGATCAAGTTATGCTCCTATCATATACTGTATAGAACACAATGTATGTAACCAATGAACTGGGCCACATTATATTATTAATACACTCAGTTCCTCTGTATACAGAATCAGAAAAAAAAAAGTAAATAAATTCTATCATGTTTCAGAGTAACAGCCATGTTAGTCTGTATTCCAAAAAGAAAAGGAGTACTTGTGGCACCTTAGAGACTAACCAATTTATTTGAGCATAAGCTTTCGTGAGCTACAAATAAATTGGTTAGTCTCTAAGGTGCCACAAGTACTCCTTTTCTTTTTGCAAATTCTATCATGTTAATAGAATTAAACTTGCACTGGAAAATAAATATTTCTCTACGGGCAGAGGAACCAGAGATGTTGACCACAAAAGAGGAAGTAAAGGATCAGAGAAAGCCAACCCAAGAGCAAGAAAAGAAAAAAAAATACGTCTTAACAACACTGATACTGTCTTATTGCCTTAACACTGAATTTCAAACCAAACAGACTGTTCCAGTACAAGAAGAACCAAGAATAGTCAAGGCAAATCAGAATTTTATTTTGGGACTGAACTCAAACTTGCCTGTTGCTCAGGATGCAATTATAACAATGATCTGGCCTCAGGAAAGAATAAAACCAAATCAAGGACTGCTGGTAGTTGGCTATTGTGTTTGGAGCTTTAAGGGGAAAAGAATTGGGAAAAAGAAACAAAGAAAATCCCCCAGCAGTTATTTGAGGTCAGTTGGATTTTGAAGTGTATATAAGAAAGCTTTAAAAGAGACTGAAGATCAGAGCTGGTTAAACTCCCCAATGTTTTCCCTGTGGGAAATTTTGAACAAATACATTTCATTTGAAATGTTTCAGTTTTTCATGGAAAAAATTCAGAATGAAATTAAATGACCATTTTTCTTTTTCAATAGAACATTCTGTTTCAATCTGGGGTTTCAGGCACCACAATATTCATTTTTTGCTTTTTCCTTTTTTTTTTTGAGTTTTGGTTTTCTCTAGCTTTCTGTCAGTTTTCTCCTTTTTACGTTGTTTCATTTCTTTCCTTTTTTTCACCGTAACTTTTCCAAAATTAGAAAAGTTTTGCAAAGTAACTGAGTGCAGGGAAAAAAAACAGAAAAAAAAATAAATAAAGAAGCAAACAAACCTTAGACCTCACTCAGGCAATCTATTGCATTCAGTGGCAAAAAAAAAAAAAAAAAAAAAAAAAAAGAGAGAGAAAGTGGAAGAGATAAAAATCCAAATGTTTGATTTTTTAAAGATGTCCTGGTTATTAAGAAATGGAAGATTTAAATCTGAAACGAAACAAAACAAAAGTATATTATTAGTATCCCTTATGGTGACATCATGGAGATATTTTAAAACAAATAGCCTTCCCAACATACAAGATGTTTAAGCACAAAAAGGGAAAAGCTACTGTCCAAAGTGTATCCCCAGGAGTCACCAATAAAGCCCGGCCGCAAACCGGCTCTGTACTGAGGCACCTGTCTGTGGGAAAGGGCAGGGCTCCGCGCACATCGCTCATCTCGGCCTCTCCCGTTGGCTCGTTTAAAGGAGGAGCCGCCTGGTGCGCGGGCTTTGGGGAATGTCAGTCTGAGGCGCGTCCCTCCCTCCATTCCTCGAACGAGGATCCTGGGAGCCAAACTCTGATTACAGGGATGTTCCAGGTGCCTCACACATATACACACACACGTATTCTTCCCCCACGAGACAGTCACGTGCCCCGCCCTGTCCCCAGAAATCACTTATCGCCCCTTCCTCAAAATCACGTGTTTCCCTTTACCACCATACGTCAAAATCATACTTGCTCCTCCCGCCCCGAAAATCACTCGTTGTCCCTCCCACCCAGGGGCGGCGAGTTATACACACTCGCGGTGCCCGGGCTCCAGCAATATACAGCGCCCGGGGTCCCGGCTCCACCAGCGTGTGAGGCCGGCTCTTTCCCCCGGATCCGCCCTTGCTGCCCCCGCGCACCTGCCCCGGAGCCTGCAGCTCACCCTGACTCTGCTCTCCGGGCTCCCGCATCAACTGCTGCCGCAGGGTCCTAGTGCCCCCGTCACTGATGGCGGGGCAGGCTGCCCTTACCCTGCCCTTCCGCCCTAGCTCTGAGCCTCTCCAATGTCCCAAACCCCTCAACGCCAGCCCCAGCCAGAGCCCTCATCCCCCCGAACCCCAATCCTCTGCCCCAGGCCTGAGCCCCTCCCACACCCCAAACCCCTCATCCCCCCGCACCCGAACCCTCTACCCCAGCCCTGATCCCCCTCCTGCATCATGAACTCCCCAGCCCTCACCCCTGCACCCCCTCCTATCCCCAAACTCCCTCCCCCTTCCCACACACCCCCTCCTGCCTCCAAACTCCCTCCCAGAGCCTGCACCCCAGTCCTTCACACTCCATCCCAGAGCCTGCACCCCAGACCCTCCCCACCCAAACTCCCTCCCAGAGCCTGCACCCCCACCCCCAGCCCAGAGCCTGCACCCAAACTCCGTCCCAGAGCCTTCACCCCTCACCCCCTCCTGCACCCCCAGCCCAGAGCCTGCACCCAGCACCCAAACTCCATCCCAGAGCCAGCACCCCAAACTCCCTCCCAGAGCCTTAGGCAGGTGGGGGGGCGGAGTTTGGGGGGCGGGTTCTGGGCACCACCAAAACTACAAACCGGCCACCCATGCAAGTCCCACCCCCAAAATCACTTGTTGTTCCTCCCACCCCAAATTGATTGATCCTACCCCCATAATCACTCACTTTCCATTCCTCATCCCAAAATCACTTACTGCCCCCCATCCACAAAAATCAACTCCTGCACCTGCCACCCACACAATGTGGCAGCTGCCCTGACCAGTGTCTATCTCCCCCTGGCTATTGCTATCTCTGGTGCCAGGACCTGGGTGTGTCTTGGCTCTGGGCTAGGATCCCTACAGGGGGCAGATGGGGGCAGGAATGTTTGCATGGTGTCAGGGGTCTGCATGGGCTGTATCTGGGCAGGGGCTGCTGGGTACGAACTGGCCCTTGCACCCTGCGGGACCCGGACCAGAGCAACGGTTGGAACCAGCCCAAAGACACGTGGGGATGGGTGGTTCCATGGCAGCTGGCAAATGGCAGTTGGTTGGGGGAGGGGCTGGTGCCTTAGCCCAACCCTGGGGGTGATGGGGGAAGGGCTTGTGCCTAAGTCTTGCTCTCGGGGGTGACGGGAGGGAAGCAGCTGGCTACTCTGCCTTGTCCAGAGGGTGACGGGGGGAAGAGGCTGTTGTCTCAGTCCAGCCCCAGGGGTGACGGAGGGAGGGGCTGGTGTCTCAGCCCAGCTGTTTTACTTTTCACTAATGTCAATATTATGATCATTGCATAAAACAGCTTTGCTTATTTTGGGTATTTGGAAATAGTAAGATTGACTGTACCCACTCTGATAACAAAATTTGCTACTATAGCACAGTATGAAGGGGTAACATCCTACTGGATGTGATGTGACATATATTATGATTTAGTTGGGGATTGGTCCTGCTTTGAGCAGGGGGTTAGACTAGATGACCTCCTGAGGTCCCTTCCAACCCTGAGATTCTATGATTCTATGATTCTGGTATGTTCTTGTAGTGGTCAGTCTATTAACCCTGCTGTCTTGGACAAATTACAATTTTGTTAACCAAAGCTTATCTACATAAATTCCCCTTGTAGTTTCAGGTGAATAAAGAGTTAACATTCCTGTTCTAACAGCGTTGTACTTTGTACTTTGCATAAGGAAGTAATTGATATTTGAGTTCCTTATGTTTGTGAAGTCTTTTGGGGTGAAAAATACTTCAGTAGCTGTAAATTGTTACTACATGGCCTGATTCTTGAAGGCTCACTCATAGGGACTTCCGTACTTCTACTATGCTCCCTCTTTAAATAGGGTCTTATACAAGGTGCGTGACTATCATCTGAGTAGCAATTCAATCAGCATTTCTGGGGAAAGAAATGCAGCAAATTTACAAGACAATATAAGGTGAGTTTGAAGATGAATTTTTTTCTTTGAAATTATTTTTGTGTTTGTGAAAAGTTCTTATCTGAGCTTTCTGCCCCTGCTCTGCCTCTTTTCCCGAGGCCCCCACCACTCGTTCCTCTCCGCCCCTCCCCTGTCACTCCCCCTTAAGGCAGGAGGGGGCAGAAAGGAGCAAATGGCAGTTGGGAGGTGCTTGGGGGAGGAGGAGGAGAGGAGTGAGTGGCGGTCTGGTGGGGCCTTGGGAGCGGAGAGGCGCAAGCGGCAGGCAGGTGGGAGGGAGGAGCCTTGGGGAAGGGGGCAGAGAGGAGCGAGTGGTGGTGGGGGGCCTTGCGGGAGGAGGCAGAGCAGGGGTGGGAAGAGGTGGAGTGGGGGCAGGGCCTCGGGGGAAGAGGCTCAGTAGGAGCAGGGCCTCGGGTCGGAGAGGGGGTGGAGCATGCACCGTCAAAACAAAAGTCAGCGCCTGTGCATTTGAGATCAATGGAAACTAAATCCCTTTATAATATCTGAGCAGAAATAGTAAAAGAATAAGCACAAATTCCCCAACCGAGATCTAGAGAGACCACTTTGGGGAATGTCATGTTATGTCTATATAAGCCTCGTCCCGCAAAGGACCAGAGTACTACTAATTTGCTTTTTTACTTTTTCATGGGAACATTTTTCTGTTAGAAACTTGGCTGGGACAATTGGCACATTTCACATAGTCCAGAAGAGTCATTGAATGGTGCTAAGTTTTTGTCACCCACAGCTTGGTCTGCTTTTGATCTATGCTGCCACTGACATTTTGTGACCCCTTCCCCCATAATTTCCTGCAATTGTGAACATTTAAATTGATACATATAAAAAATATTTAAAACCTATAATTCTGCAAAACTCTGAAAATTTCAATAGATAAAAATAGAATAAAGTAATTAAAAATAAACATTGATATTATACATCAAAATTATTTTAAAAAATCGAATTCTGCCAAGTCTAGCCCTAGCTCTGCTGTCCACCTCCCCATGCTGGCCAGCCACAAAATAAAAAACATTTAAAATGAATCAGTGTTTCATTTCTTAGTAGCTTATTTCTGACAGCTATTTTCCTAAATGGCCCATTGTTATTCTGGACTGCTGGTTAATTAAGGGAATAAATACAATGTTCACCAGGATGTCTCACTTATACTGGGATTTTATATAAATCTGGGGCTTTATTATACTTGCTTGAAATATTTCCCACTGTTAAGAAATAAGAAATTTTGTCATGTAACCCTGTTGCTGACCCTCCTGAATGTAATAAAAGATAAGCAAAATCTGAACAACAGGTGACTATTTGCCCTCTCTGAGAGTCCAATTCTGCCGTGTAAGTGTTCGGAATCAAGAAATCACAGTATCTTGCCGCAATGGTCAACTAAAGATGATGTCCAGCAATACACAGCCTTCTCTACTTCTACAGCCTCCTCCCCACAATAGTATTTAATGCCAAGATATTATCTTAGGGCCTGATTCTGCAACCCTTATTCATTGTCAAGTTCTATTATAAAGCCTTTGTATGAAATATAGGTTCAAACTCTGAGAAATGATTCTTTAAAAATGGTCAGACTCCATATTTAGTATCTCTCAATGACTAGTGAAAATGTGTTCTGTCTACAAGTAACCAGGTGCTCTGCAAACTCAGCATGAACTCTGAAAGTCAAGCTGGGCTCTTGCTGTTTCATGAATGATCGGCAACGAATATTGACACTGAAAATTCAGTTTATAGTTCTGTTGCTGATGCATGAACCAGAAAAAATCCAACTCAAAATGTACATGTTAAACTTACCCTGGAAATCAGATGACAAGCTGTTAGGTCACAGAACACAGGTGTTTCTTGCATAACACCTTTCTTAATAGGCAGCACACTAGTGTCTATATTAGCTGCAATATTTACAGAATTGTTATTGTATAAAACATTCTCTACATCATAGTGTCCCACCTGCTAACTGGCACAGAGGCCAATAGATGGGAAGATATGACTTGCTCACAGTCTTCAAGTATGTACATGAGAAAAAGATGTCTGATAGTAGAGGGCTCCTTAATTTAGGATTAAAAAATCATGAGACCTACAGCTTGGAATCTGAAGATGGACACATTCAGAATAGAAATAAGGTGCATGTTTTTAACAGTGAGGGTAGTTAACACTTGGAACAAATTACCTAGGGATGTGGTGAATTTTCCATCACTAAAATAAGACTGGACGTCTTTCTCAAAGAGATGCTACAGCTCAACCAGAAGTTATCAGCTTGATGCAAAAATTGCTGGGAGAGGTCCTCTGGGCTTTCATACAGATCAGAGTAAATGATCTCAGTAGTCCCTTCTGGCCTTGAAATGTAGGAATTTTCAGATGTGCATGTACTCTTACCTGAGTAAGGGTATAGCAGGAGTCCCTACTGGGGGACTAGTTTGTCTTTAAGGATTAGGGAACCCTTCACTTCATCTTTTGCTGGATAGTTTGTGACAGTCTGACTGCACCCTGGACTTTAAAAGTAAGAGGTGGGAAGTGGTTTAGGGAAGCAGCCTCAGGGCCCTCCTTGATGTCATTTCCACTCCTAGAGCCCTGGGTTGGAGCCTGCTGAGAGGGAGGGCCCAGGCTATCATACCAGGCAGCTGTGAGCAGCTTTCCCTACCCCCTGAGATAAGGGGAACAAGGACACTGGAAGCCCTGCAGTAAGAGTGTGAGGGACTACAGCCACTCCAACAGATGCCTTGAGATCTGTGGGAGGGCCCCAAGTTGCTGGGACATTTCCATGTTTGCAAAGCCAAAGCTTAATCACCTTTGAGGGCTCACTCATCCTTATCCTTATGGGGGAGATTGTGCATTAAGACAATTCATCATTGTCCTGCACATTGTGTAATCACATACACCCATGTACAAATCTTGGTGATCTGTGGATTCTGGGAAGCAGGAGGGGGTAGGATGCAATCTACACGCAAACACTGATGGCATTTTCTTTCATTCACCTTTAGTCCCCTCCCTCACATGTTTCCTGAGTGCTTTTTCATGCCCTTTGCCCACACCTGCTTTTTATAGTCCAACGGATTTTGGCGGGCTTATTTGTGTCTGCTGAGAGAATTCTGAGGTGAGTACACAGATCTGCTGTGTATGAATGTCATTTATAATCCAGATAAGTGATTTCTAAAATATGTTTCTTATATTTATGTAGCTTTGGGATTTTAAAAAGTTACTTCTTGTTTCTGGAGCAACTGGAATGACTAAGATTAAAGTTTAGATGCATTGCAGGGATGTTTTCGTAACTGAAGCTATGAAAAAATTGCAATTCATTCATAAAACAGTGGTTTATAATTGGAAGGAGTTCTGTGCAAATACAGAGTTTGGACCAACATTTATCTGTATTAATTGGATCTTGCTGAATGGGAAGATGAGAGAAATAGATACTAATTTCCTTGTCACATAATGTTTGATTTAGAGTTGTAATGCTAAGGGGAGGTAGGCACTTCACTATTTTATTTTATTTTTTTTCAAGAGAGGAAAGTTGTAACCAAAACCACTCTCCTTTTGCTATTGGAGCTTTAAGGCAGGAATCAGCTCTGAGGGAGCTGTGGAGATGGCAGAACTAGATGTGTCTTTAGAGCTCTCAAATACAAAAAGGACTTTCATTCTTAACAATAGATTATCACATTGGAAAGTATATCTTGGTGTAAAATATACTAGGCTACTGCATGTGCATGGGATGGGCAGGCAGTTGGTGAAAAGAAGAGAAAGGGAATAAAAAGGGGCTTGTGAATTTTTCTTCTTGCGTTGTGTTTAACTGGAGGTGCTTCAGAGGAGGAGATGCATATTTCACAGGATTAACAGCATTGCTCTACTGGTAGTTGGCAGTTGTCTTTGGAGCATAAAGGGGGAAGGAATTGGGAAAACAAACAAATGGGGAAAAAAAAAACCTTAACAGTTGTTTGGGGTCAGTTGGATTATAAAGTGTATATAGGAAAGCTTTAAAAGAGACTGAAGATCAGAGCTGGTCAATCTCCCCCAATTTTTTTTCTATAGGAAATTTTGAACAAATATATTTCATTTGAAATGTTTTGATTTTTAATGGAAAAATTCAGAATGAAATAAAATGAATTTGTTCAATTTCTATAGAACATTCTGTTTCAATCTATGGTTTCAGGCACCACAACATTCAGATTTTGCTTTTTCCTTTATTTTGAGTTCTGTTTTTCTCCCTCTTTCTGTCCGTTTTCTCTTTTTTACATTGTTACACTTCTGTCCTTTTTGTTTTCTGTAAATTTTCCAAAATTGGAGAAGTTTTGCAAAGTTACAGAGTGCAATAAAAAACAACACAGGAAAAAATATAAACAAGCAAAGAAACCCTAGACCTCACTCAGTCAATCTATTGCATTCAGTGGCAAAAAAGGAGAAAAGAGAAAGAAAGTGGAAGAAAAAGAACTCCAAATGCCTGATTTTTTTAAAGATGTTCTGGTTATTAAGAACTGGAAGATTTCGACTTGAAATGAAACAAAACAAAATATATATTTATTATCCCTCAGGATTACATCGTGGGGATTTTTTAAACAAATAGCCTTTTTTTGATTTTATGATTTTTAACCATAAAAAGGGGAAAGCTAGTGTCTAAAATTTATCCCCATGAGTCACCAATAAATCCTGACTGCAAATTGGCTCTGTCATTAGGCACCTGTTCCTTAGTGCCTAATTACAGCGATTCTTCACATCGCTCACCTAGGCCTCTCCCACTGGCTTGTTTAAACAAGGAGCCACTTAGTACGTGGGCTTTTGGGAGTCTCTAACTCTTAACTCCTGAAGTCTCCCTGGGCTGCATAGGGAGTCCCCCCAACATTTGGGGAGTCCTCTGATGCAGAGCAGGGAATCTGCAAATCCTGAGAACCCTGGGTCCCAGGCCTTGGTGCCATCTATATGGCAGTGCCACCCTAGAACCATGGATCCTGGAAGCCCAGACTCTCCTGAAACTGGTGAGGTGTGCTGTTTCCGTGAAATATTTTGGTATTGACAAATCAACATTTTCTGATGCAGCCCCATTGTAGAAGAATTCCTGACCAGCTCTAGTTGTGTGTAAACCTCATGCCACAGTTTGTGATGTTTTCTATTTCCATTGGCAGAGAGTTGGATGGATGATATTGCAATCACTTCACAATGACTGCATGGATCAAATCAATTGCCATCCCATTTCTTTATATCATCAGCAAATGTCTTTGGGGTAAGAACATCATTTTTCCTAAGTACTGATCAGGAAATAAATTCTGCCTGTGTAAACCCTGTGTATGGAAACCATGATGTAATCTGAAGTAGGTAAACCCAAACCAAATGTGGGAGCTCTAATGGCACTGAGCTGGGATTAACATCATTGTGTGCTGGAACCTGTCTACCTCCCTGGTTGTTTTTACATGCTCTCAGGTGTATGTAAAGTCTCAGTGACCCTGCCTCATTAAGCAGGGGGAATAACCATACTTTGTCTCTGTCTGAACACAATACTAAAATTCTCATTAGTCACCCTCCTCAACCTATGAAAAAGTACTGAGAGCCATGATTAGGATGAAAGCACAGTGACACTGATGCTTAGATGGGACATTTACCCTGTCCAGGAGTATTGTTTGGAGAAGTCTAAAATAACAGAATGGTTGTTAGTATTCCAAAGTGACAGAAAAATTGTTACACACAGACACACACACACACACACACACACACTTCACACAATGGTGGCCAGGTACAATTGCTTTTCCTGCACGCAAGGACTTCTCCCTCCTACTTCTTACAGAGGCACAAGCCACCCAAAGGGTTGGGCAGAAAGCAGGACAATAACTAGGCTTAGATTTTTATCATTAAATGCTGATAAATGTTGATTTCTCTGTATGCACACAAGCTGATGAAAAATATTTCTATCGCTGCAAACTATTCAGAGATACAAAGTAAGAAATTGGAGTTTGATTTCAGGCTAAACTTTTGATATATTCTGTTGACAATTATGTTTTAATGCTTATAAGCTTTAACTTTTTGAATCACAGAATATACTGTCATTAAATAATAATCTGGCCTGATCCCATTGTGTGTCCCTCCATAATTTCCTGCAACTCTGAAAATTTAAATTGATACAAATACAAAAATTCTTAAAACCCATAAGTCTGCAAAACTCTTAAAATTTCAATAGGAAAAAAATGATAAAAAATAAACATTGATATTATCCATCAAAATTATTTAAAAAAATAGAATTCTGCCAAGTCTAACCCTAGCTCTTCTGTCCACCTCCCCATGCTGGCCAGCCACTGAGAGGAGAACACACTGTAACATCTTCAATGATGGCACCGGCTTCTGCTCTGCCTGGAGCTTCAGGAGGGACTATGCATCCTGCACCTACCCCTCAGAAGTTCAGTCTGTGCCACCTCGTGCTCAAATCTGTGCATAGCTGAGCTACCAGTGAGGACCTCAAATGCTCTCTCCATTCTGAAGGGGGATAATTAGGTTAGATGTGGTGCATTTCTACCATGAAACATAACACTGCTGTTGTGTCTCAGTAATTGCATCTAGTTTTTTTTTGTTCTCTCAACATCAATATCAAGCTTTTGAAGAAAATCAATGATCATGATTTATTTTCTTTCTTGCAGATGGTTTTACTGTCACTGTACATGTTGATCCTCCAATTGCCTTGGTTGGACAAGGTGTGATGTTGTCCTGCCAGCCCGGAGGCCACAACCCCACTCATGTTCAAGGTGTATGCCTTGGTATAAATGGGAAAGGAGCAAAAATATGACGTTATATTTTTACAATAGCACAGAAAATGGTACTGAGCTGGGCCGGGTTGGGGACCAGCACAGGAGTGACGCTCCCAGAGGACGATATGAAAATGGAATCGTTACGGTGAAGCTCTTTCCAGTGCAAGTAGAAGATAGTGGGCAGTATGTGTGTGCGGTGACAAATGATGGTGTCTATCAAGAAGCTATCGCCCAGGTGATTGTTGCAGGTAAGCATGGATATTTTCATACAGAAGTGTTGCTGGCAGTGAACAATGCTGCACTTATCACAGTGGCACTGATTGTCCATTGCAGTGCACTGTGTGTGGCCAGCTGTGTTTCCATTTAATCCTTTCCTCCCAATAGGAAGGGTTCAACGGCTGGCAAGGGAAGGAGAAACAGCATCTGTTGTAGACGAACATCCATGTGTGTGCAACGTTATGGGAGGTGGGCAGAGGCAGCGCAGGACTGGGAGTCAGGGAAGCTTCAGCAGTTTGGTGTCCATCTCGCATAGTATATGCAAATTATACCCAGTGTATGCACACAACATGAACACATCATGTACATTTTCTCTGTCTTTTTGGTAGTGGCATGTGCAATTCTCATCCACCTGCCTTGTGTGTGCTGCTGACGCACAACAGCAATAAAATGAATAAAACGCAGGGGCAAAGCTGGGCCATTACCTCCCATCACACACACATATGAATCCAGGCAGTACATTACAGAGTCTGGTGGAATTGTGAGGTCACTGTCCACCTGTGGTTTGTACACACTGCCCCTGATTCTCAGTTACACTAAGGCCCTTTTACGTGGAAATGTACCGCTGACATTACCCCTTGTACAGAGAAGGTTCTCCTTGGCCAGTGTAGAGCTGATGTAAGGGCTCTGTAGTGGCCTTGCTTCCAGACGTGGTGTAAGGGGCATGTCAGGATTGTGGGAGAGAGGGAGCAGGCTAAGGGTTTGTAGGGGTATGAGTAGTATAATGGCCCTACTGTCAATCAAACCCCAAATCAAATCAAATACTGTCAATCAAATCAAATCAAAAGTTTGATTGACAGTAGGGCCATTATACTACTCATACCCCTACCAGTTCAGAAAACTGGTGGAGGCTGAAGCCGCAGGGGTCCTAAAAGAAAGGGGGGCTGGAAAGGGTGGCTCTGATCAGGCCTGTCTAGGTGTGGAAAGGGGTACCTTCAAGGATGCACATCAGCTCATGTGTAAACAAAAGGGTGGACAGCGCTTGGGGGATAAACAGATGGCTGCCAAAAAGTTCCAGGCCAGTGTCGCTGTAAAAATTTTAAAAAGGGCTAAAGAGATAATGAGGAAAAAAAAACAAAACTTGTATAATGTCCATACTGTCAATCAAACCCTAACCCCGCCCCTTGACCCATTGACCCCTTAGCCCCGCCCCCAGCTCAAGGGGGCCCTACCATCAATCAAAACCTAGCCCCGCCCCTTGGCCCCTTAGCCCCGCCCCTTGGCCCCTTAGCCCCACCCACCGGAAGTCCCACCCTCATGAGTTATTACTTCCAGGGTCAAGGCCGCCACATGACCGGAAGCAAGGTGTGTCATGTGGTATGGAAAGGATTTAAGAAATCCTCAGCGGACAGCTCAGCCCTAGTTATACTACATGTATGGTAGCAAGGTGTGTCATGTGGTATGGTAGTGGTATAAGGTATGGAAAATGGTTTATGGAGATGATTTTAAAATAAAACCGGTTGTTGCCCCTTTTCGAAAAGGCGACCACGTGAGACTATCTAAAACCAAAGGAGCTTTTGAAAAAGGTTATGAACAGACATTTACCGATGAGATATTCATAGTGGATGAAGCCTTAACCAGGGGTCAGAGACCTGTATACCCATTAAAAGACTATGAGGGTGAGACAGTTACTGGATCTTTTTACCCTGAAGAATTACAAAAAGTAAACCCCAAACGAGACAGGATTTACAGGTTTGAAAAAGTTCTAGCGGAGAAAGGAAAAGGGAGAAAAAAGCAACTACTGGTAAAATGGTTGGGGTGGCCTGATAAGTTTAACAGCTGGGTGAAAGCTTCTCAACTCTGTGACATTTAGACGCAAACAACAAACAAACAAAAGTTATTCCTCCCCGCAAAGTCAGAGAAGATGAGCGATGGCGGGTTTTACATTACTTTGCCCAGCAACGCCAGCTCTGCAGTTTTTCCCCAAAACACCAGCTCGAACTTTACAATACGGCTAATTAAGCCCTTGGATCTCCGGGGTGCCTGGGAGGTGGGGTTAGTGGAAATACAATACCCGCACAGCTGGAACACTATCAACGAAGACACCCCTTTTGAAGTCACCTTTGGAGATATGGCATGGAGTTTCATTCTACGATGAGGTTATTATGCGTCCATACCCGATTTACTGGATCATATGAACAGTATCATAGCTCGTCACCCCGGACCGCCTGAGATGGTCATGAACTATGACCCTGTGGGTAGAAAAATTAGACTTAAATCCGCCACTTTTACTTATATGTTTTCTACCAGCGGGGAGCTAGCTAACATTCTGGGCTTGGGCCCCAAACACAGCGTCCAAAAATTCCCTTTCTCGGCAGACATTACAGGGGGTTTTAATTCCTTGTATCTGTACATGGATATCGTAGAACATCAGTTTGTGGGGGACTTTTCTGTTCCCCTGTTACGTTGTGTCCCCGTCCAAGGAAGGAACAACGAGTTTGTCACCATCACCTACCATAAACCTCATTACGTCCCTATCAGTAAACACCACATCGACACCATTACCATTGAAATAAAGACAGATCAGAACAAAAGCGTCTCATTTCGCTTTGGCAAGGTGATCATCAAGCTACACCTGCACCCCCGGAGAGAGCGAGTTTTCTAAAAAAAAGCAAAACAGTATTACGGCGACCCCAACGTCTACAGAAACTATTACAAAGCCCAGGCGGGATACACCCTTCCCGGATATCATGGGGCCCCCGTGATGTATGGGGCAGGCGTGGGTAGAATATTCCGTAGCCTCTTTTGAAAAGCCGTACCACTTTTGAGGAGGGGGCTAGAGATTATTAAACCCCACATAAAAACCGCCGCTCAAAACATAGCTAAAGACGTGGTAGGTCACGTCTCCCGCTCTGTTCTGGAGAAGGTGGGGAACACAGCTTCACAGGAAGGATCAGGGCTGATGTACATTAAAAGGAGGAAGAAGAGAAAGAGAAATGCGTCATACCCGCGACGCGCAGGTCCCCCGAAACCCTTTAAAAGAAGGGCTTTGACCCGCAGGGTCGGCCATAAGCGAAAGTCCAAGAGGAAGCCTGGGCGAAAGAGGAAACGCTCACCGGCTGATACGAGAGATATATTTTAATCAACATGGCTTTCGTTCACTGCGGGTCTGAAGAATGCACCAAATCCGAACTAGACTTGTTCCAAATAGCCCCTACGCAGACCAGCATTGAGAAAAGCATCTACATCGAGGTGCCACCTCTGTCGGCCGTTACGGAGTCTGCCCCCATTGACTTTTTTATAGCAGGGAATGGCATAGATTATATGGATTTAAACAACACACTGCTGTACCTGTGTTGCAAGATTGTAAAAGGAGACGGAACTGAACTCGAAGCGGACGCCGAGGTGGGCCTGGTGAATTACCCAGTGGCCTCTATTTTTAGTCAGCTGGATGTCACGCTCGGAGACCGTCTTGTAAGCCAAAGCAACAACTGTTACCCTTACAGGGCCTTTATAGAATCGGTGCTCAATTACAGCAACGACACCCTCGCCACACAATTTTCCGCTGGCCTCTTTTACAAAGACACTGCTGGACAACAGGAAGACACAGACTTGGATGGCGAGAATCTAGGGTTTGTGAGGCGTGCAGAGCTGACTGCTCAAAGCAGAACAGTAGAGCTTCTGGGTCATCTACACAGCGACCTATTTTTTCAAGAAAAAAACTATTGTTGAACGGAGTGGATGTGAAAATTAAACTGATGCGCAGTAAAGATCCTTTCTGTTTAATGGGCAGCGGAACTGAAGGCTTTAAACTGCGCATTCTATCAGCATCCCTTTTTGTGAAGAAAGTACGGGTGGCCCCGAGCATTCGTCTGGGGCACGCCGAGGCCCTGCTTACCGCTAATGCCAAATACCCCGTGGACCATGTGGGAATGAAAGTGTTTAGCATCCCTGCGGGCAGCAGGGTCAGTAACCAGGAGAACCTGTTCTTGGGACAGTTACCCAAAATGCTTGTCCTGGGGTTCGTGGATAACGATGCCTTTAGCGGAAGTTACGCTAAAAATCCCTTTCATTTTAAGCATTACGATATTAATTTTGTGGCCTTGTATGTGGACGGTGAGCAGATACCGACCAAGCCTCTGCAACCAGACTTCGAGGCAGGACGCTGCGTGAGAGAATACCTGAATCTGGTACAGACGGCCGGTAAACACATGAAAGATCGTTCTCTGTTAATCGACCGTGAGGAGTTTGCACAGGGTTACACCCTGTTTGCCTTTGACCTGTCCCCCGACCAGGAATGCGCCGATCACTATTCCCTGATTAAAACCGGGAACCTGAGAGCAGAAATTCGTTTTGGGAAGGCTTTAACCATTACCGTCAATATGATCGTGTATGGGGTTTTTGACAACGTCATAGAGATAAATCAGAGGAGAAATGTTCTGTTTGACTACATGTGAACATGGACACCGTGCAGCTCTCACGTGTCTTATCAACGGACCCTTACATGAAAAAGAATTTCTTAGACGTGTTTCCCTGCGATTGGCTCCTTGGCGGCAAGCTGTCTCAGAGACCCCTAGGTTTTGGTGGTCAACACGCATCCACACAGCCGACCGGGTGAACACTGGCTTGCCGTGTATCTGCCGCATATTTGCCGCGTAACCTTGGAGAGTTTTTTGACTCATACGGGCATCCCCCGAACAGTGTGTTCTTTCCTAAAAGCATTATGAAATTTTTAAACAAAAATGCCACAGACATTGTGTTTCACAACAGACAATTACAAGACCCCAGCTCCGTTGCCTGCGGCTGTCACTGCGTGTTTTTCTTACACCATCGTAGCAAGGGTTTATCTTTTGACCGGATTTTAAAATTGTATTCTAATGACTTAGTGCAAAACGATCGGATGGTGATGAATTTTGTAAAAAATAAATTTAAATACTTAGCCATGCCTAGCCTTGCTCAAAGCATGTTTCAACAAGCCCAGACATGCGTATCTTGCAACGATTTTCATAGTCATGTTACCCAATAAAGCACC